CCACCTTATTATTTAAAAAGTGGGAGAAGAGTGGATAAGGCTGGTATTAAAATACAATAATACATCTAGTCGTCCATAGAGCAACTACAATGTAGAGAGCAAATTTCTGTTATATACAGGGTATCAACCTTTACATACCTGCCACATAAGGAAAGGATTACATCATGTTTTAACCTGAGTGGATGCACTGAACAATCTGTCTCACCAAAACCTAACTCCTGTTCACTAAAATGTGACAAGTCTGATCACGTCCCTACATGCAGCAACAATGCAAACAAAGGATCGCTTTGCATTTTGCAGTAAGGAAGAAAATATATTAAATTTGCTCACTTAAGCTTATGAGCGAGGAGCTGCAGTGCTTATTGCAGAACCAATGCTTTCGAACCAAAACAAGACCTTCAACACCTCGTCCCGAATAAAAAAAAACCGAAACCGAACAGCTAGAAGTTTCTCCTGCAAACATCGCTGGGCCGGAAAGAGATTTTCTTACAGCTGCCCGACGAAGTTCTTGAGGCAACAGGATCGAATAAGGGCCTTTTTCACCGGGAAAGCAGGCCCCGAAAGTAATAGTCCACCTACGAACCGACAGTCTCACCCCCACACACTTATTAAGGAGGAGCGGATTCTGCACTGCCCGTTTCTTACCCCGAGTTTCAGGCATCAGGGGGAACTCGATGCTCCGACGCGGACCCCGAACGGCGCTCGCACCCCGGAGGCATAAAGGGCAAGGAGAGAGACAAGTAGGCCGAGCGCTGCCTCCGCCAGCGATGCAGAGGGGGAGGCTTGTGGCGGGAAACGCAGCTGCGGGGCCGGAGAAGGAGCTAAACCGGGACCCTAACAGCCGGGCTCCCTACGCTGCCTCCCGCGGCGGGGCCTCCCCCCTTGCTCCTCCAGGCGCCGAGGAAGGAAAGGCGGGAGGACGCAGACGGGCTGGGCCTCGAGGCTCCTGCGCTCCCGTGCTAAGCGCCGCGCCACCGCCGCGACGTGTTCCTCCCCCTCCTGTTTCCCTCACACATCTCCCCCCCCTCTTCTCGCTCCCTCACGGAGACAAAAGCAAACGGAAACCGAGGGGGACGAGACAGACCGCAAGGAGCCCAAACCGCCCCGGACCCGACCGAAGCCCTTCCCCGGCCGCCGGCGGATTCCCGGGCAGATTCGTAGTTGGGCCGCAGCAGAGGAGGTGGCAGCGGGGGAAGAATAATAGGGCCGAACTCACCGCATGAATTTTCTTGTCCCGAGGATCCAAGATGGCTGAGCACCCCGCACGGAGGATGCTGGGGGAGCGACCTTTACCCTCTGACCCCAGCGCTGCCGTCGTGACCCCGCCGCCGCCGCCCGGCAGCGACTACGGGACGAGCGGGAAGGTGGACGTGATAGGCCGGCCTAGAACGGCTTCACCGACCCAAGACTCGCTCCCGCCGGGGGCCCTGACAAGAAACGAGGCCTCCTGCCTGCTTGGGCGCGCGGCGAGTATTCGAGTCTCGTTCCCGCCGCGGTTTGCCCTGCCGGAGCGGCTGAAAAACGGCGAGGGGGCCGCCACCGCCGGGATCTCGGCGCCCAACTTCCGAGAGAGCGGCCTTGCACGGACCGCGAACTGATTCCGAGACATCCGGGGAAAGGGGGAGGGTTGTTTGTTCTTGTTTTTTTACACGGTGGAAGGAGGAAGCTTCGCGCGCACACGCTCCTTCGGGCCGTTTGGGAAGCACGGAAACGGCGGCCGCAGCTTTTGCACCATATTTAGAGTTGAAATTGGGGCGAACTTTCCGCCGCCGTCGCCGCCAAGCTGTAATACTTTGCAGTTCCTCTTCCGCAATCACTTAGGGATGTTTTCCAAAGTGACATTTCCGAACATGTAAATAACGACCCTGGATTCCTTACAGGTGTATTTCAAGAGGCCTATGTGCTGCTTCCTCATTCTGTTGTACATGTAAGACTTTTGTGTAAGATTGTGACCACGTTGTGCAATCCTCAGAAAAACAGCCTGATAATAGAAGGACATGTATTTTCTATTTCTACCCAATGCAGAAGGAGGGATGGATTCATATTCCAACTAGGAACACAGCAAGTCCAGTAATATGCTTTCAACATTGATTGAAATAGAAGAATCCCAAAGCTAAGTCACTGTTGGGGATACACTCCCTTTGCCAGTCTATTTTTCACCTCTCATACCTTTGGTATTTGTTGTGAGAATAACAAGGACAGGAGTATTAAGTATAACATCCTTAGTTTGGAAAACCTTCAGTAAATAATAAAATTCTAGAATTGGGTATGGTTCCTTTACACGGGACATCAGATGCAACATTCTATACCAGGGGTAGTCAACCTTTTTATACNATCACAGCGCACTCCACACGAAGTGCAGCCACTTCTACGGCCTGGGCCACACAGGCTTCATTGACTGAGATCTGTAGGGCAGCCACATGGTCTTCCCCCTCACCTTTTGTGAGGAACTACAAATTGGACTCCTTTGCCTCGGCAGTGGCATCATTTGGTCGCAGGGTGTTACAGGTTGTTCACAAGGCAGGGGACACGCCCCACCAGGCATAGTTTGGCCATGTTCTTTTCATATGTTACCCTCCCTAGGGACGTGTAGGCTTTGGTACGTCCCATCCTGGATACTCCTCCCCTCACTACGGAGAAAGGGCATTGGTACTTACCTGATACGCCTCTTCTCATAGTGGGAGAGGAGTATCCAGCCCCTCCCTGATATGGTGATGTAGCATGCGTTATGTTGGTTGTTACACTGTTATGTTGAAGGTATGACTCAATAAAAGTTTGAAACTAAAATAAAAGTTTGGAGTGGATGGCACAACGAGTCGGATACAGTTCTTCGCCGATAACTGGGCGGTACCTGGTGACCAGGGCGTGTTCCAAAGAGCTTATCTGACTCAGTCCAATCAACGAGAGGACAAGGTCAACCCATCCTGGATACTCCTCCCCCCACTATGAGAAGAGGTGTATCAGGTAAGTACCAACACCCTTTCTGATGAAAAGTACCTCAAAAAAGTGTATCTTTAGTCTTCCTATGGAATCTTCTTCATCTGACACTCTTCAAATCTTGTTACAAGTTTCCTGAAATCAAGGTAAACTATATCCAGAGCATTATGGCTATCTGCTAGAATAATTGCACTGCCAAAGAAGGAGACAAGATTTTTTACCAAGTCATATTACCAGGACAAGGGACGGAAGGATAAAGACAAGATGAAATTTTATTAGTAAGAAACAAAACAAAAAATAAATCCTTTTAGTTCTAAATATTCAAATGAAGGAAATCTGTGTTGAAAAACAAAATTTACAGTGCAGTTCTAATCTGAAGATCCAACAATTGCAAATGAACAAGAAAACAAGTTCCAAAGAATATATAAAAGTAAATGCTAAAAAACAGCAGACCATAAAATGGACATTTTCTATTACAAATAAGAGAAAACTGGTTTTAAGAGAACAGTAGCACAGATTTCCTGAATATTTTGTTCAAACTGCTAGAAAATACAATATATGCAAAAAAAAAAATGTTTGCAGTATAGACAAAAGACAAAAATTAAACTTTGTTCAATTCTAATGAGATAGAAGCAGCTTATTTCTCAGTTGCACTGACTTAGGGTGATTATAGTACAGCTAAAGACTGATCCTAGTCATCAGTGATAGTGATAAGACTGTCACGCTACTACTGCAGAATTAATTTTATGGTATTGCAAAACCATTTTCAGTGCTCTGGCAGACATTTAGCAAGCAGTTATGTGTGATGTGATTGCTACATACCATATTAAATTGCGACTCAAAGACTGGTTTAATCATTAAGTGTATGGCTTGAAACTTTGTATTCAAATGGTGTAGATTATTTTGACAAAGAAAATGCATAATGATACAGGGCTTATAAGGTTGGGCAGTGCAGTGATTTACAAATTAGATGTCACCCTTTGGGGGAAATTGTTTTAAAATGAAATAAATTCTGATAACTTGCATATGTTTTGGGGGGGAGTGGATCATTTTTTCTCCATTTGAGATAACTTAATATTAGTAAGCTATTTTTCCTGTACCACTTGAGTTTGGTTCTTTTCAGTGCATGTCAGGTGACAGGTGACCAGGATGAAAAGAGGGAAGAGAAAAGAAGGCAATTGGCAAAAAAGAAAGAAAATCTCTAATGTATAAATACTCAGGCTTACTTTGTTGGTATACCTTGATAAAGGTAATAGAGGTAAGATATGAATTCGAAGAACAGGAAGATATAGGACTGAAAACATGGAGACAAATGGAAGTAAAAATCAGAGAAAGCTAAAATTCTAAGGAAATAAATTATGTAATCCAAAAATGAGAAAATTTATTGTTAAGGAATCTGAAGAATAGAAGCATGAGGGAATTATTGTTGTGGGCTTCTATAAGAATTGGAGGGTTAATCAAAATTATAAAATAGCATGTAAACTACTCCCCAATGCAGTGGTTGCAATACACCCATTTTATCATTTGCAGAATCCCATGATTGATGTAAAAATTAAGAGTGCAATTAATAAAAAGTTAAATCACAAAAGCCCAAATCATGTAAGTGCTGAATAGATGCAGATTTTAGGGAAATGTGTCTGAGATAATTGAAGATAAAAGACAAAGTTCAATGTATAAATGAACAGTATAAACCAGCGTAACCAACTCAAGGTCTGTGGACCACATGCAGTTCCTCAAGATACTAAAAAAATAAAGTTTATATACAATATATATATATATATATATATATATGTATATGTATATGTATATGTATATGTATATGATGTATATGTATTTGTATATTGTATATTGTATATTGTATATAAACTTTATTTATATGTTTGTGTGTGTGTGTGTGTGTGTATATATTATATACATTAACTATATACAGTATTTTTTATGTGGCCGGGACAATTCCTTATGTAGCCCAGGCAAACCAAAAGATTGGACAACCAAGGTATAAACTAAATGTGAATTGATAGTNAAGTAACTTTATAAAATTTATAAAGCAGAGTTATAGCAAACCCCTATTGCCCACCATGAAAGCTGGAATGCCCACTAGTGGGCGGTAGGGACCAGGTTGACTACCACTGCTCTATACCCTAGGAGTTGCGTTTAAACTAAGGTCTTAGGACTCATGTATGTGGTGATAACATTCTAGCACCACACTTATTCAGTGTGCTAATCTTAAAAGCAATTAATTTAATTTTTGTAATTAGATCAGCCATATCTATCGCATACAATCTTCAGTTCATGTTTAAATTTGGGTTTCTTTCCCAATGAAAATAGAAATAGTGCACAACAGCATCTCTTGTACTTAAACGACAGTTTGAAGAAAACACTTCAATGAAACAACTCCCACAAATATAATCTTGTAATTCCTGATCTTTGTAGATCACAATATTTTGAATAATAAATTATTCTTTTCCCATGCCTAGTATTCTATATATGAAACTGGTACAAAATTGATTTTTTAAATAAATGAAACAATTGGGAGGGACAAATATTTAAATTGTGGAACATAAATTAAGCACTGTAATTTAAGGTAGTGGTTAAAGCACAAGACTAGAAACACGGACAGTTCTGGTCCTACCTTAGGCACAAAGCCAGCTGGGTGTCCTTGGCCAGTCACTCTCGACCCTAGGAAGGAGGCTGTGGCAAACCATCAGGAAAACTGCAGGAATTTGCCTAAGAATTTGACTCAAGCATAGATACAAATTGTCTAATAATGATGTAAATACATATAAACATTTTACAATGAAGAACATATTTGTATTTAGAAGGTTGTGTTCCCTAAAAATGTGTTTAGAATCGCAGGTTTTAACAATGCTTGAATTTTATTTGTGTTACCCATGCCAAAATCTTTGCACCTAATTGAAGTCAGTATTTTTACAAAAGAAATTCCTTGCAAGTCTCATGTAAACATTCAGATTTTAATGTGTATAAATGATCCTCAGCAAAGAATGTAGTCAAACATAACTCCTGGTAACTTCATAGACACATGTTGGGCTTTCTTGGTAAAACTACAGAAATGACTTTCCATTGCTTTCTATTATGTTTTTTCAGCTAAGCTGTTTAGCCTATTTTCTAGTGGTGTTTCATCCAAGTTTTACTGTGTCTAACCTTGTTTTTGAGATCAGCCAAAAGTACTTCCACAGCCTATGTAGAAAATGTATAATACTAGAAGTAGCATTAATTGATAATTATGTTGGGAAATACCCTTACTGAATTTATTTTTTAGGGAAGTATAACTTGTTCTACTTGAATTAGGAATCACAAACCTTTTTTTAGTAGACAATTGTGAAGCACTATTTAACTATTGGCAATAAAGATAGCAGCCCTTATTTGACCATGGCTCATCCTCCAAAAGCTGAACAGCATTGGACCTAGTTAGTGTATAGGTGAGAAACCACCAGGAAATAAGACTGTAAGTTGGATTGAATGGTTGAAAAAATATAAATGACAAGCCATTTCTATGCTATTACAAAGAAACTATGTAGACTTGTCCATGTTGCTTCCAAAAACTGAACTGAACTGAAGTCTTAATTCCTGTTTGCTTGATCATTCAGTTCTTTATAACTCTTTGCATACAGTGAGTTAGTGCAACATTGGAAGTGGTAGAAAGACCCAGCTTATGGAATTGCCAAGAGTCAGGCATAACTAAATTGATATCATCATCATACAATATCTTACAGTGGACAACAGTTTTCCAGTCTGTCGGTCACTATCTGCTTTTCTGAGTATTTGTGAGCTCATGCTCATGATATTAATGATAATGTCTGGTCACCTTTTCATTTGCTGGCTTCTTTCTAAATTGCCTTTAATTTTTCCAAACATCAGTCTACTCCAAAAATTCTTGCTTCCGTATTATGAATCAAAAAAAGTTTCACTATCTGCTTGTATATTCTAACCTAATCATCCTAATGAATGCTATTTTCATGCTATTGGAAAAAAATCCTCTCAGCAGTTTTCTCCAGCACCACTGTACAAAGGCATCAATTTGTATTTTTTCAGGTTTATAAAAAATTTACAAATCTTTATAAATTATTGCTGTCAATATGGTTTTTGAATACATTTCTTATGGCCTCCAAAAAGCAGATGTCATTTTGTTTCATGATTACAGTCTTCAGTGCAGCATTTTTTGCATCCAGGAAGATAAAGTCTGCTATTTCTCCCATCACTTCTTCAGGTATTTGCACTGGACTGATAATAATAGCTAACTTTGTTTTCCTTCAAGTTACTCTTAAAAACTGCCTGGATAAGTTCCTTTGTGTTTTTTGACAACATTTTGGGAACTGGTTTGATGTTTTAGGTCTGAGAGAGAATTATTGATGCAATCACCCAGCTAGATTTCTACTTAACTCATGGTCTCTGATTTTAACCATTTAACCAACTGGCTTTCAACAGCTGGCATGACCCTATTTTAAAAAAATATTGGGCATAAGAGCAACCTTTGTAACTTCCACTTTGATCTTCAATAAGACATAACTTCAACACAGTTCATCACAATCTTGAATTAGTTATTCCATGTTCTATTGCTTCCTAATCAACATATATATTTTAACTTGCAGATAAAGTACTGTAGTCTGATAATATCTATGTTTTAAAGGACAATTTACAATACGTTATAGACTGCAACTCCTGCAATTTAAAATTTTAATATAATCAATGCAGCAAAAATAAATATATTTTAATCCTCTTTTGCCTTTTTCATTACCTTTTGGAAATTTGCAATGTGATCATTCCTCTAATGTCTCTGAAATCTTCCCAACACTAGTAATTCTTGTTCCATATATATTGTTTGTATACGTGCACTTATTTAGTAGTTGAGCATTCTTTAGAACGGCTCTTGTAGTATTGAACTATATAAATTAGTCTATTCCAGTTCTTTGGCCAACACTGTTTTCTATAACTGCTTACAAACTTACAAGTAGTGCTTTAAAACACTTCTACCAGTATTTTATCATAAACTCCTAAAAGGAGTTTTTGTTAGCAATATTTTCTAGAGCTACTTAATTTAGTTTTGAAAATGCCTGGTTCTGGATTGGAGCTCCAGAATTCCCTCAAGCCACTGCTGGACATCCATCTATGACTATATCTACTCACATCATGGTCTAATGCTTGTATTAATTCTAAATACAAGTCTTTATTGGTAGGTGTTTTTTTCCTGACCCACAAGTTTTAGTCTAAATTTTATTATCTCAGACCTTCACTTGGAAACAGTATTTCTTAAAATGTCCCATTTCTCCATGCTTGAAGTATGAGAAGGCTGATTTGTCAGGAAGTTTAGTCCCTGGTTGCAGATTGGGTAGAATCATAGAATTGTAGAAACGGATAAGTCCACCATGATCATCTAGTCTAACTCTTTGCAATGTGCAGTAGAACCAATGAAAAAGTCCTATGAGAGCTGACTGTTCAGATTTTTAAAATTCTTCAGAAATTGGAATACCCATCTGCCTATGTAGGTAGCCTGTTATACCTTGTACAGTTGTCATTTTATTTAAATAAATCTAGTACAATTTACAACTCTTATTTTTGGTCCTAGTTGACAATCTTCCCTGCAATTTCCTTTATGTGCTTGAACACGTTACTTCAAGTCTACCTTCCTCCACGTTAAGATTTTTTTCAGCCTATTATCATAGGGTATGTTCTGAAATCCTTGTATCAGTTTTTCTGCCTTGTCTCTAACCTGTCAATATCTTTCTTGAAAATTGGTACCTGGAATCTACAAAGTATTCCCAAAGTGTTCCCCACTGTTGAGTATAGAGGAATGTTAACTTTGTATTTTTGCTTCTTTTAATGCAGCTAGATTTCTGTTAACCATTAACAATTCTGGCAGCTGTCTCATATATTTGTCTCATATATCTTGTTGTCGATGATCGTACTACATCTTTTTTGATGTAGCATTTTCAGGCCACTAATCCCTGTTTTGGCAGTCATAGAATGGATCCTATTTGATAAAACTTGTCCACAAAAGAGACCTGATGGACGACATCAGCAAGTATTGTGGGCGCAATTGGCAAAAGAAAGCACAGGACCATATTGGTTGGAAACATGCGGAAGAGGCCTTCATCCTGCAGTGGACAGACAATCACTAAAATGATGATGATGATGATGATCATCATCATCAACAGCAATAACACCTAGACTTATATACCACTTCACAGTGCTTTGCAGCCCTCTCTAAGTGATTTACAGAGTCAGCCTATTGCCCCCAACTGTCTGGATCCTCATTTTACCGACTCGGAAAGAGAGAAGGCTGAGTCAACCTTGAGCCCATTCAGGATCGAACTCCTGGCAGTCAGCAAAATTAGCCTGCAATATACTGCATTCTAACCACTGCGTCACCAATGAATCCCTCTTATATGCATGCCCTTCATTTTTTCTCACTTATTTTTATTTTATTATGGTGCATTCTAAATGACATCTAACCTATTTTATCTACTTTACAGCTTATTAACAATAGCAATAAAGAACCAATGGTATGACCTGGAGGGAAATGGACAAAAATCAAGAAATAAGCAAAGAAGACTGAAACATTCTTTTAAGACCTTGGAAACTTGGTAGTATTTAGAATAGATTTAGGTAAGCCTTCCTAATTGACTAGACCCCACAAGGGTCGAGTTGCGAACTGTGGCTTTTCTTTTCTTTTTTGAAAAATTTTTGTTTCAATAAAAAAAAAAAAAGAATCATGTTTCATTACATCTTGTAGAAAGCGTGTCGATTGGTGACAAATACATTTTGTGCGTTTCTTCCACAATCCTTACATATACTTCATTCAGATTGAATTATACATTTTAAATCAAACAAGAAAATTTATGTATTTTACTACCACTGTAGCACAATTCTCATTTAATTACAATTATTTAAACATGTTTTTATCTAAAATCATTTCTATTTAAAGACACAGCCACTTACTGGCATTCATTCGCAGTTTCAATAAACCTCCAATAACTTTACACCTTTATAATATATTCTGAAACAACTTCAGTTAGTAAAATATCTAAGCATTTCCCCCCTTTCCCCCCAACTCACAGTTTAAATTTGCTTTTACTAGTAAAATTTTATATATATATATATATACACATACATACATACATACATACATACATACATACAT